TTTGGGAGGCAAGGGCTGGCTCTGGGATCCCTGTGTTCCGGGCAGAAGCTGCAAGCTTTCGATGGCATCCCTCAGCTGGGCCTGAGTACTCTCCATCTCAGTCAAGCGGCGCTCCTGCGGAGACAGTGGCGATAGGCTCCGCCCAAGGGGGCTTGCACCCCACCTCTGGCTCCCACACTTGGAAGATCTGCCCTGGAAACCCAGCAGGGCGCTCACCATACTCTTCATCCCGTGGCCCTCCTTGCTTGAAGGGTCCTGATTGCGTTCTACCTGCGTGGTCCTGTGAGAGTCAGGGAGGGAGGGGAGCAGGTCAGAGGCTAAGAAGCGCCCTTTTCAGTTCCTTGGTGGAGGGCCGAGGACCCAAGACCCAAGAGATGGGGATTGGGGTAGAGGCGGGGTCTGTGCCGGCTGGCAGGCGGTGCCTAAATAAACATGAGGAAGAGGCGGGACCAGCTAAAGTCTGTCCTAGGTGGGGTTCACATGGGGGCCCTGCTTGGGGAGGGTTGACTGGTAGATGGAGCCTGGAAGAGATGACCCGTAGCCCTGGGGGGCAGGACCACCTGGGGACAGAAATAACCGAGGGGGCGTGGCTGAAAAAGGGGTGGTGAGGGTCGGGGGGCGGGGAAAGGCCTTGTCAGGCGTGAACGGGGCCGGGCCGAATGAAGAGCAGCGAGCCCCTGGGGTTCGGACCTGGGCTGATCTGATTGGAGCTGGTTCGTCTGGGGGCGGGGCTAATAGGGGGCGGGGCTCTACAAAAGTGTCAGCCTGAGGGCCGCGCTCACTCGGCACGTAGCCTGGTCGCCAGGTTCTGCAGCTCGCCCCGGAGCTGCTCTTGTTGCTCCACCAAGACCCGGACTTGGGCGCCCAGAGTCTCCACAAGGCTGGACAGCTCCCTGTGCTCCTGGCGCACGGCGGCCACCTGGCCCTGCAGCTCGGCCAGCTGTGGAGAGGGAGCAGCTGTCACCTGACCTGCCGTCCCGCCCCTTCCTCTCCCTGCAGACCCCGACTCCCAGTCCCGCGCGCACCGCTTCACTACCGCCCTGCCCCGTAGTACACAGGCAGAACCAGGCTCAGAGAGGGTCCAGGGTCCGAGCACAGGAGGATCGATTGGTTTTTGAACCAGCCTGGCCTTCAGCCTCTTCCCCAGCGCCCGCATCCCGCTCAGCCGTGCACTTGGGCCAGATCTCACCTTGCTGACGGGTCTGTGCGTGCCCGGCGCCTGGTCTCCGATCCGCGGCGGATCCAGCTGGCGCTGCCAAGGCACCGACGACTTCCGAGGCAGGGACGCGGAGACCCCGGTCCAGGGTCTACCGCGGGGCGCAGGGCCTGTGCGCAGGGATCCCTTGGGCCGCGGCCAGGGCCCTGTGGATGGACGGCGGGCGGGCGGGCGGCCAGCAGGGACGCTCTGCGTGCGCTGCACAGGCCGAGCTCGCCGGGAGGGCCTGTCTTCCTTTGGCGGCCGCCGGGCCCAAGCCCCTGCGCCATGATCGCTACGCAGGGATTGACTCTTGGAGATGAGAGGGGTGTGCTTGGGAAGGTCCCGGGGAGCCAAGAATCCAGGCTTTTCTCCTGAGGAGAAGCTGGGTGGGCATGGGGGTGGAGGGAGACATTGAAACTTTCAACGGGCCCCTAAATTGACCCCATCTCCACATCGGACCAGAAAAGACCCCTCTGCCCTCCAGGCGAAAACCAAGGCGACGGCTGTCGAGTCATCCTGACTCAAAGCAACCCCTTGTGCTACAAGTTTGAACTGCTCCTGGATTTTCCTGGCTGTAATTTTTATGGAAGCGGGTTGCCAGGTCTTTCATGGCACTGCTGGGTAGATTTGAACTGCCAACCTTAACCTTAAGGTCAGTAGTCTCGTATTTGTGCCACTCAGGGACTTGGCCACGACCCTAGCCCTGATCTACTTTTATGTAACCCTGACCTGAATGGGTTCCTGCTTTCTCTCTGACCCTGTCTTTAATTTCTGCTGAAAACATGCTCCTCTGCATGACCCTTGACATGAGCACCATCGAACCTTCTCTAATTTCCACGCTGATCTCTGACCCAATGGGACTCTTGATCTGACCCTCTCTGTAACCCCATTCTGACCCTGGGCCTGCACTTTCCTTCCCACTGTGCCCCATACCCTTTCAACCTCTGACCTTAAACTGATTCTCTTCCTGACCCTTCCTAGCACATAATCTCTGAACCCCCCCCCCCCCAAATATGACTCTGCTAATGTCCCTTCACAGAACCCTGGCCCATCTTCTGAAGCAGTCTCTGATCCTAACATCTGACACCATGATTACCCCTGCTTTGACCTCCATCTCTGACTTCTGCCTGAGAGTTGATCCTCACCTCTGACCACATCACTTTCCCCCTCTGGGCTGACATATAAACCTCTCCTTGGCCCCTGACATGACTTTCTCGAGCCTCTGACCTCCGCTGAATGCGGTAACTGATACTGACCTCAATGTGCCCCTGCCCCTGACCTCTGACATGATCCTGTCTTCACCTCTAGCTCCAATCTGTCCCTAAACCTGTCTTTGGCTCTGCCCATCAGAACCAGGACCAGAGTTGAGACAGGCCAGGTTACCTGGTGTGGCCCTGGGCTGGGGGTGGTGGAAGACGCATGGGCACTGATACAGGCACTGGTCGGCCCTCCTTGATGGCTCGGAGAATGGTAGGCAGAGGCTCCAGGCTGTCCCGGGTGGCCTGGTGAGGCATGGGGAAGTGGGTGCTGAGCAGGCTGTCTGGGGCCAGAGGCTCCCTACCTTGCCTCCCCACACATGTCCTGCTTTCGGGACTCAGGCCACACCTGGTCAAGCTCAGCAAAGATAGTGCAGAGCTGGGCATGCAGGACCGCCAGCTGGTGGGCCAGGTCGCTGCCACCTTGGTAGCCACTGGGAGCAGCGTCCACATCCACCGTGGCCACTTGGTCCAGAAAGTGTTGCATGGCTGGGCCTCGAGCCTCCAGAAACGTATTCATGAAGCCCATGTAGGCCTCCTTCTCACCAAACCTGGGTGGGGCCAGGCTGCATGAGTCAGGCCAGGCACCTCCCCTCCCCACACTGGGTACCCCCTCCAGCTTCCCAGCACCTACGGGGCACGGTTGGCAAGGTTCTGGATGACCTTGGCGATCAGTGTGAGGGTGCGGGCTGGGCCAGGTGCTGGATGCTCTGGGGCCAGGCCAAAGAGGCTGGGTGACAAGATGGCAGGGCAGAGAAGTCGCAGGAAGAGGGAGGCACACACCAGCCTGGGGCCCAGTGCCTCGGAGCCTCGTGCCTTGCATGCATCCCGCCAGCCTGAGAACACTGTGCTGAGCTCTGCGGGGAACCAGCTGGGGCAGAAGAGGCAATGGTCAGAGGGGGAAGCTATGGGCATAAAGTTCATGTGTGGTCAAGGTCACGAGGTCAGGAGCCACATGGGGTTTGTATTGCAGGACTGGGGCATCAGGATGATGAGTCTGTCTCGGGTCAGGGCTTATGGTGTGATAATGGAGAACCCTGGGGTCTGTAACGTTGGAGTCAGGAATACAGGGTCACGTGGAGACAGGATTCATGAACTTGGAAGGCAGCTATTATTGAGTTGAGCATAAGATTGGAGCGCTAGGGTGCATGCTATAAAGTGGAAGGCCACACAGGTATAGGTTCTCCTTGGGGCAGACATCACAAGACTGGGATCCCAGGACACTTGTCATCAGTAGGCATGGGATTTTGGGGTTCAAGGTCATTTGAGGTTAGAATCATGCAGTTGGAGGCATGAAATCACCTGTAGTCAGAGGTCATAGGCTTGTGGTCCCAGGACATTGGGGTAAGGTGGCGTGGAATTTCGGGATGGGGTCACTTAAAGTTAGAGGACAAGGGCCTGGCTTCCAGGTTTCTTGGAGCCAAGAGGCATGTCATAGCAGGTAAGGTTGCCAGATTGAGTAGATAAAATTTCAGGACACACAGTGAAGCTTGAATGTCAGACAAATAGACAGTTTGTTAGTATTAAGTCACTGCCATCTAGTCTATGCCGACCCGTAGTGACCCTATAGGAACAGGGTAGAACTGCCCACTGTGGGTTTCCGGGACTCTAACTCTCTCTTTTTTTTAAAAAGTCCCCCATTATTTATTTATTTAAAAATCATCTTATTGGGGGTTCTTTTTTTTCCTTTTTACTGGGGGTTCTTACAGCTCTTATCGGCTGTAACTCTTTACAGGAGTAGAAAATGTTCTCTTTTTCTATTGGCGTGGTTCGTGGTTTCAAACTGCTGACCTAACTGTGAGCACATTAATGTTTAACTACTCTGCTACCAGGGCTCCTTTGTTTGTAAGAAAATGTCTATAGGCCCCTGAATGGCGTGAAAGGTTTATGCTCACAGTTGATGTAAAAGTTGGGGGTTTGACCCCACCCAGAGGACTCCAGGGGACCACGGGGGAAAAACAGCCAGGCAGTCAACTTCTGTCAAGATCACCACCAACTGTGGGGCAGTTCTACCCTGTAACTTGTGGATGGGGTGCCCTTACCTCACGATCTCCTGGATGGAAACTAACAAGAGCAAACTGTCGCAAATATCACCCCAAGTTGAACTAAGTGTCCTGTATGTCATCTGGTCGCCTTAATTTGGGGCCAGAATCAGCACAGGGGCTGAGGCCAGTGGTGGGTGGGTGCGTGCAGATGGCGGGGGACCCGTGACTCACTCATAGGAATGGATGATGTTCTCGAAGACTTCCTCACAGCCTTCTCGCAGCCTGGTCTGGTGCTGGGGCAGCTCTGGAGCCGGGCACTTGCTGGGATCCACCTCGCAGTCCTCAGTGGAGGCACAGAGACATCGCACAACCTGCCCTGTGGCCCAGCATGACCAGAACAGGGTGGGTCACATGCCCACCACACACAGCCCTCCAACTCTATCTGTAACTCACCCAGAGACACCTAACATCTCTAGGCGTCCCGACCCCCAACCCATTCCAGCACCACCCACCCACCAGTCTAGGCCACCTACCAGGGCTCTGACGACTGCCCCTCCCCACCCCACTCACCCAATGTCTCTTGAAGGTAGTCTTGCGCCACCAGCTTCATGTACTCATCTATGGCTTTGGTGGCCAGCGTGTTTTCTCGGAACAGCAGAGCCTCGCGGCCTCCACAGCGCGCCAACTCTGCAGTGCCCAGGTCTGTCACTAATGCCTGGGCAGGGTGGGAGGATAGCAGGTTCCAGCCTCTTGACTCACCTTTCACACCTGGGACTCAAGTTCTGCCCCTCACAGCAGCTGCACCCTCGGTGTGGGAGCTGGTGCTGGAGCTAACAGGCTGGAAGCACTTCCAGCAGAACGCAGAGCCTTTTATATGTGCGACCCCACTCAGGCTCCGCCCCTTGCAGCTGCCCCGCCTCTTGCAGGCGCCCTCAGGCCCCACCCATTTCAGTTGCCCGGCTCCTCCTTTAGGTGAAGCAGTTTCCTCCCTTCCCAGCCGCTGAAGTTCAGGCCAGACTGAATGCAACGTATCTCCGCGCCCCCCCCCCCCCAAAAAAAAATCCCAGACACAATTGCCAGCGAGTGGATGCCGACTCATAGCGACCCTATAGGGCAGGGTAGAACTGCCCCTGTGAGTTTCCGAGACTAGCGACTGGTGGCTTCGGACTGCTGGCTGACCTTGAGGTTAGCAGCCCAACTCGTAACCACTACGCCACCCCTCGCCCCTCGCAGCTGAAGTTCAGGTTCCGCCCTCAGCAGTTGCCCTGCCCTTGATGCATCTGCTCAGTTCCCACCTCTCGCAGCCGAAGTTTAGATCCAGCAACCCCCCCACCCACCCAGTCCCACCACGGTGGACCCGCCCCTTGCAGGTGCCTTTCCCCAGACTCTACTCCCCTGCCCCCCAGACAGGGGCGCCGTCTCAGCTGCGCACCTGCGCCCGGCCGGTGGCCCGCAGCACTCGCACCATGGCGGCCGCCAACTCCTCCTTGGCCTGCGCGGGCAACGCGGGTTCGAGCGCCCCGCAGAGGCGCGCGTAGTGGAAGGTGAGGAACTCCGCCAGCTCCTTGTAGCGC